GGGAGACAATGAATACAATGCGACTCTTTGCTGATCTCGTCAAGGATGTCAATGCCCAGAGGCTCCTGAAAGAATTCAAGAATATCGGGTTCAAAGAAGGGCAGATTTCGCCATGCGCATCAACAATCTCATCGCAAACTTCGATCTTATTGGAGAGACAGTGGACATCCCTTGCATTGTGAAGTAGTTCCTCCGTGTTGTGTCCTCCACCCCGACTCAATTAGGTAGCTGTCAATCAAGAAGCTAGTGTGGATGTTGCGTGCCGTAGAATATCGTCTCGATGAAAAGGTGGATCAGATTTTTGACAAGGCCAAGCTACTACTGCTAGTGGAGGAAGACAGGCATATGGAGCATAAGCATCACTTCCAGTTGGACCAAGGAGGGCAGTAGTGCCGGTGCCGGTTGTGGTCAAGGCAAGAGCAAGGTGCCACATCAATGTGATGGCAGCAGAATCCAGCGGGTGTGATGTCATCGAACTCATGTTGGGGGGCACACCTTGACACAAATGTCAGTGCCCAAACTGTGGCATCTATGGCCAGTGGGCACAAGACTGCAAACGCGTCACAATAGGCATTACAAAGAGGAGAAGTGAGAGGAGGAGAACGTGGATGTGGTGGACGCGAATAAACCAGGACTGTTGTTGGTGTCAGCAAGCAGTGTTGTTCATGCACCGAACAAGATCGTCCACCTGGTGGAGAAGACTGTCATCCCGATCGACTGCGTCGTCGATGTCTTGGTCCAAGACACCGTGGCCAACAACCATATGACGGGCAGGTGATCCGCTCTAACATAGCTCAACGTGGAGGTCACGTCCAATGTCCGTTTTGGTGATGGATAATGCATCAGATTCGTGATCACAGCTCCATAGTGATGGAGGGTCAACGCTAGGAACACAAGTTTCTCACTGAGCTAATGCTGCTAGTGAGGCTTCTCTTCTGTAGCACATGATGGTGCTTGAGTAAGCTTAGGCTCACTATGCTTATATGGCACCACTATGATAAGCTAAGCCTGTTTTCTAATGTGAACTTGACAACTAAATTATGAAATCTAAAACTTGATTGATTATTCGTATTAGCATGCTTATGCTAGGTTTCCTAGAGCTTATACTTTTTGCCAAAGGTCGAATGTCATTGCAAATGTTTAGCTCATGCTTAACCCTTGGGAGAACATAAATTCTTTTGTTTTGCAAAGACACAACTTTTATCTAAAAATGATGAAAATATGATCAACTTATGTTGAACAAAGCCTGAATGACAAATCTAAAAAATTCAAGAATTGTTGAGTTTTGTGCTTCACTTTATATCTAGCACGGTGCAGGACATAGAAATCAAGTTACTTTGCTGGGTGTGAAGCCACAGAGTGGCACTACTATAGAAATCTTTTCTGAGACGGTCAAAAACAGTTTTCCGAGGTAGGAAAAGCAACCGCCTCCATGAAAAGGTTTGCGTTAATGCAAACCTACAAAGGTGAGCGCTTTGCCCCCTCGGTAAATGGATTAAAAACAAAAAAAAACAGAGCCTGCCGGGGAGCCCTTTTTTGAGCCCACCAGCGAACCTACTCCCAGCCCCAGAGCCAAAACCGCTGCCGTGAACTGTGGCGCCATTGCCGTGAGCTGGATCCACCGCTCGGGGAGTCGTGCGTCGCCAAATCTACTGCTCCAAAGCTCCGTCATCGCTCCGGGCCGCTCGTCGCTCGTAGATCCACGCGAAGGGTGGGGGAGGGGTGCCGCAACCACTCAAGGAGGTGGGGGAGGGGTGATGCAGTAGCTTGGGATGTGGGGGATGGCCTCTGCCGCTCGGGGAGGTGACGGAGGGGCACTGACCTCCTCTCCTCTTAGCCGCTCCAGATCTAGAATTAACAAAGGAGCGGGGAGCCGCTGGATCTGGATCGGAGGAGAGGGGAGGCGAGGGAAGGGCCGCCACCGGATCCTGTGGTGAGAGGGGGACCACCGCCGGATCCCGTGACTGCAAGCCCGTTGCGCCGCCGTCGTACCTTGCCGTGTAGGGGCCACGCCTGGCGCGTTGCCGCTGGATCCTGGCCCAGTGCCCGCTAGAGGGAGAGAGAGGCGCATGCGGGGACGAGAAGTGAGGGAGAGAGAGCCGCATGCGGGTGAGGGATGGGGCGACGGGAGAAGTGAGGGAGAGAGTTGGAGAGGTTTGGAACCCTAACTGTTGTATTTATATAAGCCTAAGAGGAGGATTGGATATGGGCTTTTACTGGGCCTCCAGTATATTTTCCCAGGCGGGACTTTTAGGAGGTCCACCGCCGAAAATGGTCTCCATTTTCACAGGCGGACCACTTATGAGGCTCGCCTCCTTAAATAAACCAACCGCCTCCGTGAATCGATTTTGCGAGGCAGTCATTTTTTGGTGCCTTTGTTAAGAAAACAACCGCCTCACAGTAATTGTCAGTCATTTTATGAGGCAGTTGGATTTTGTGACTGCCTCGGTTAATGTTAGGGTAGTGTCTTGTAAAATCATTTTTGTAGTGGTGTAGTAGAACCAACTAAATTTATTGAAGCTACCTTAACGCATAGATGGGATCAACTGAACAAATGTCGAAGTAAGTCTCACAATGTTTTAGATAGAGCATAGGGTTTGACCCATCAAACTATGGGAAGGACTGGTTAGGCACAACACTACTAGGAAGATGTGAAACTCTCGGGTCATAGTGCGGAGAAGAATCGAATACGAAAGGAATAAGAGTGATTTTGGGGTGATTCTTCGCACATGTGACCAGAGGCAGATCTAGGGCCATGCAAACCACCCCAAATCTGGTGCTCCTGTGCCGATTTGCATCGTCGTGGCCAAAAGTCTAGGCACCACCTCGAGTGAAGATGACTCCAGATGAGCGGCGCTCCCCACCTTGTCGCCGAAGTTAAACTTGGAGTTGTCATCGGGATGCTCGATGTTGCTTTTGCCTTGGGGTACACCTTGCTTGGAGTGGTCGTCGAAGAACTGCTCCATGCGCTCGCCGAGATAGGTCACCCTATGCTCCAGATCTGCAATGTGGAGGTCAACATTCGGCTTGCACGAATAAAACTCAGCTTTCGCCAGCTTCACATCCTCTGTGGATTGCTTGAGCTCGATCAGGGACGGCCCTTAGGGGGTGCGGTGGGTGCGACCACCGTGGGCCCAGACCAAGTAGGGGCCCAAACCGAGGTACGTAAACCATCATAGGCCGTAGGCCATTTGCTAGCAACAGGAGCCTAAGTAGGGTGGCAAATCGACGTCCGGTCAATTTCTTCAGAAGAAACGATTCTTGGTGACTCTCCGCCTGATCATTGACTGCCTCGTCTCTCGCCTGTCGCCTCGCCTGTTCTACGTGGTGCAGCTTAGTGCCTGGCTGCCAGCCGCTGTTGTCAATCGGATTGTCATTACACACTCACACTGGGCCTCGCAGCTGGTACCGATCCATCTACAGGCTACAAGCTACAGTACTGGCACCGAGGCGCGAGACGGCTAGGAAGAGCTCCGTCCAGTATGTGGTCTGTACATTGAAATATCCAATCTAGTAGGTACACTATGTATTTCGACTTTACACAATTTAATCCTCTAATTAGCTATTGATAAGCATGTTTAATTAATTAAGATAATGTTGTTTGATTTGGTTTGCACTTTAGAAGTATAATTAGACACGAGTATATATGGTCTTATGGGCCCATGACGATGAGTTCGCCATATGGCTCTCGAAAACATCGATGATACCCTTGGAGTTTTTGCTCAGCAGAGCAAGGATCTAACCAAATTGCTCTTTGGGTGTTGCCATCGCGTCTTCGAGTACAATACGGATGGAATGCCAGGATTGACTAGATCTAATAACAATTATTAGTGTATCACTCGACTTTAGGTAGCTATTAGGTGGAATTTGGTACGTAGTCTTGGGTCGCCGGCGATCGCCGCGCTCAGGCTCACCACAGCCGCTTGCTCGGTTCAACGTTACAAGGAAACAAAACTCAAGTTCTCCTCTCCGCTCACTTCTCTTTTATTACATTTTTTTTGCGAATTACAAAAGTACAGACGTAGACCCTCACAACATGCACGCATACTCACCCCTATGAATACACGCACACGAACCCTACCTCTATGAGCACCTTCAAAAGACTGCGCCGGCACATCTCGAGATTGACAAAGTCACCACAGGAGTCTCGCTGTTGACGGGAACGTCGCCTACCACTGAAATCCCAATGCTGTTAAGTCCTAAAGTAAATCCAGAAAAATACGAACACCCGTGCCAAGTCGATGACTTAAACTCGTGTGGGAAGGTTCCACCGTAAGGATAGCTCAGTTCGCACTTCTCTTCTATTACATTTTTTTTTTTTTTGAGGAAGGCTTCTCTTCTATTACAGGTCTGCCAACAACCGTTACATGGGCTGGATTACGGCATGGCCCATTCAGGTCCGGAGTAGCGCGGGTTGGGTTTGGAATTCCTTCTTCTCACTTGTGGCCCATCGTCACCCCGAGTAGCATTCCCAGGCTTGTCTCTGACATTTTGGGTTCGACTTGAACTTGTAGTCACATCTGTATCGTTGTCACCTACCTCAACAGGTAAAAAGTGGTAGGATGAAATAATCACAGGCTGAAGCTGAACTGAACGACACCAATTACAGGTCAAGAACCGGAAAGAAATGCCGTGCCATGGTTAGTAGTGAATATCGGTGCATGATTAGTATCATTATATTAGTACGGTTCAGCATCCTATGTATGTACAGTGTCTATTTACCATGCCTACGGTATATATGTAATTTCCACATGTGGTCAGTAAAAGTAAAAATCCATCTATATTTACCATGCCTTACAAAGTAAAAATCTCCATGTCGTCAGTAAAAATCCAATATTAATCCAGGTCACCGGGGAATTATTTCAGATCATCAGACTTTTATTAATTGAGATGCCATCTCTCGCTGCAGAGTTCTAGACCGCCGAACTCCAAACTCGTATTGATGTGATTTCAGTTCTAGCTAGACCTCCGAACTCCTCCAATGCAAGATAGGTAGGTATCTACTTGATGAACTCAAGCACCCAGTAAGCCCCGAAGACAGCAGTAGAGCGGATGGGTGTACGAAAGCCGGCACCCGTGGCGAGCCTTGCGTACTCTTGCTCCGTCCTCTCCCTGCCACCCTTCAAGCCGTTGAGCAAGCAGATGATATCAAACTGGAACGGGAAGCGCCCGGCCTGCGTTGTCTCCGGGGTGGCCGGCAGGACCACCTCCATGGCGATCACCTTCCCTTTCTCCGGCACCGACCAGTAGCAGCTGTTGAGGAGCTTCACACAGTCGTCGTCATCGAGCAGGTGCAGCACGGACTTCATAAAGACGGCGTCGCCGCTGGGCACGTAGTCGAGCATGTTCCCGCCGACATGTTCTACGCCTGGTATTGGCTTTGTTTGGCTGATGACGAAAGGCAAGTCGAAGTTGATGCCCTTGATGTGCTTGTACCTTGAGGGGATCATTCCCAGCGCGGTGCCGGCGCCGCCGCCAACGTCGACGAGGACTTGGATATCGTCGAACCCGCCGACGGCGGTGAAGCGGCCCTCGAGCATCTTGCGGCAGACGAGCAACGAGAGCTGGGACATGGCCTGGTTGTAGAGCGCACTCAGTTGCGGGTTCTTCCCCATGTACTCAAACGCCGGCATCCCGTTGGCCATCTCGAACGCCACGCCGCCGGACAGCACGGCCTCCGCCATGTGCTGCCAGGGGTTCAAGAACGGCTGCTGAAACCCGAACATGGCGAGGGCAGCCAGCGACCCTTCGCCGTTGTTGGTGGCGGAGAGCCACCGGCAGACTGGTCTCTTTGCATACCTCCGGAGCACTGTGCTGCTTCCGTCAGGCGCCGGTGCCGCCCCCTCATCCGTGGAGCACGTCACGACGCCGTGGGACGCGAGGAACCGCATCATCCGGTCCACCGTGGCCGTGGCCTCGGCCTTGTTCGCGGCAGGCCTGGGTATCTGGGCAACAAGCTCTCCCGCCGGCGCAGCGGCGAGCGCGTCGATGAGGCCGAGCTGTTGAAGAATAAGGTATTTTCATATTTATTTTAATCCATAAAAATGACGCAATAAAAATAAGAGTGACGTCATGAATAAAATGACAGAAATAATTCATGACAAGTGTTAACATGATGATAAGGCAAATTATAGAACCGAAACATATGTGAAACATTGTTTTACACAGCTGAAGCATCACAGACAAGATCATAAATATAAAAGATGTGTTCTCAAATATCAAGATCATGATGATCACAAAATTAAAAGGAACCAGAAAAACAGTACTAGCATAATCATCCAAATCAACCAAACAGAGCATGCTGAATATGAAAACAGTATTGCCTAGGAACATCATGATATTGATAATGAAACTCAGAAGAGGGTGAAGGAGATTATACCCTGCGGCCGAGCTGCTCGCACCAGGAAAGGCCATGGTGGTGCTTTGTTGCTGTAGTCGTCCCGCTCGATGCAGTGCAGAAAAGGACGCCGTGAAGATGCACCGCTACAGGTTCACCAGCGAGTAGTCGTGCCACCACCGACACTCCCCAAAAACGTAATCGCCCGTCTTCACCAGAGCAGGTGAAGCCCACGACGGAGACGCGTTCCGGAGGCCTACTCTTCCATCTCTGGTGCTCGCCGGAGGTGGAGCGGGAAAAACTTGCGCCAGCTGGAAAGTGGTGTACTTCGCCAAGAGAACTTAACCGAGAGAGGAGGATTTGTCTTATAGGCGGAGGCCAGACGAGGAGAAGCCGGTGGCACCGAGGGGTCACACCTCCCCTACGGCGGGAGAGACGGAGAGCCAGAACTCACGGGAGTGAACAGAAACTCCTCCAATCAATTCGTCATGGGAGTTAACAGAAACTCCTCCAATCAATTCCATCAAAGGAAACTGAGTGACAAAAATAAAGGCATCGCCCGCCCGTCCGCTCGCCGCCGCCGCCTGCCTGCCTGCCACGCCACGCGCACGCGCACGCGCACGGGCTCAGGCCGGGCCGGGCGGCGGCGCGCGCGCACGTGTGGCATCCAGGTGATTCACTTTTACTTCTCAAATAGATCGGTCAATGATCAAGTATTTAAGTAGAGTCGCCTCTCGATTAAATTCCCATATGGTATAAAAACCATTAATGCACATGTACAGACCATAGAGTTTAATAGAGATATTAAATAAATGGGCCAAGCCCATAATATCTAACAATCCCCACCAAACTCTAGGGTACGCAGTTTGGAGTTCTCAGAACCACATTCCTTTTATATACCAGTGTTTCGATGGAGACTGTTAAGTTGAACATCCATCTAGAAAGCTAGCTACACTCATCCACAACTGAACAATGGACAAAACCTTGAATTGACAGTTTTGTGCGAGATGAGTTTCACATAACCTCTTAACTGATACTAGGCTGCCAAGTGCCTTCCCTCTGTTTTGAAGCATATAAGTCACACTTCGAGGCCTTTTCATGAGCATATAGAGATTACCCACATCTCATAGATTGTGACTAGCAATCGAGCTCATATAGGTGTATTCCTTATAGGATGTTCTGTAGGACAACATCCCCGCTATACCAAGCCGCCCGGATCACATTAAGAACTTAATCATCCTGCCTAACAGTATTGGAGAGACGGTGCATCTCCAACGAACTGAGCTATAATATAAGGGGTCTCTCCTCAGTCAATCAACAGACTTGTTTCGCCATCCTAATTCACGGGATCTTCGATCACATAGGACAGAGTTACCACTTGTTGATGGCTCTATGTGGGTCTCAAACCCAGTTCCTCGACGCACCTTCTATCACATTGCGTGATGACCCTTAGTGAATTGATCTACCAGATTATTTAATGTATGGACATAGTCCAATGCAATTACTCCAGAGTTTCTCAGTTTCTGACAGTCTTCAAACGCGTCTCTTCACATGCTTTGTGGACTTCATATTATCCTTAGAACTGTTTACCTTAGTGATCACAGGTTTGATTATCACAGTTCATGGAAATTGCCGGATTGGTTTCTCAACAATCGGCAAATCCATTAGGAGATCACGGAGCCACTCTGCCTCAGCACTAGCGGTATCCAATGCGGTCAGTTCTGCTTCCATTGTAGACTTCGTTAAGATAGTCGCTTGCAAGACTTCAAGAAACAAAGACCACCTCCAAGTAGGAACACGTATCCACTCGTGGCATATAGTTGATCCGCATCAGAAATCCAATTAGCATCACAATAACCCTCTAGTACCCTCGGATACCCGGAAAAGTGAATGCCGTAACTCATTGTCCCTTTCAAATAGCGCAACACTCTGTCAAGAGCATTCCAGTGAGTATCTCCCAGATTTGACACAAACCGGCTCAGTTTGCTTACAGCGAACGAGATATCAGGCCTGGTTGCGCTAGCTAGGTACATGAGAGAACCAATTATCTGTGAATATCTCAATTGGTCTCTTGCAATTCTGTGATTCTTCCTCAAATGAACGCTTGGATCGTACGGAGTAGGAGCAGGCGTATACTCACTGTACCCAAATCGGTTCAAGACCTTTTCCACATAGTGAGACTGCATAAGAGTAACCCCACCATTTCCTTCCTCCCTTGAAAGCTTAATGTTGAGAATAACATCAGCCTCACCCAAGTCTTTCATCTCAAAGTTACTCGACAAAAAATCTTTTACTTCTTTGATCACATTTAGATTGTTGCCAAATATTAATATATCATCCACATATAGGCATAGTATCACACCATCACCACCACCAAACCGATAATATACACATTTATCAGCTTCATTCACAACAAAGCCGGCTGATGTTAAAGTTTTATCAAACTTCTCATGCCACTGCTTGGGGGCTTGCTTTAGGCCGTACAGGGATTTCAATAACTTACAAACTTTACCCTCCTGACCATTTGCAATAAACCCATCAGGCTGATCCATGTAGATCTCTTCCTCAAGCTCTCCATTTAGGAAGGCTGTCTTAACGTCCATCTGATGAATGAAAAGATCATGTGAGGCAGCAAGGGATAGCAACACACGAATAGTCGTCAGTCGAGCAACAGGTGAGTAAGTATCAAAGTAATCTTCACCTTCCTTCTGTGTATAACCCTTAGCAACAAGCCTAGCTTTGTACTTCTCAATTGTACCATCAGGCCTCGACTTCTTTTTTTAACAACCATTTGCAGCCCACAGGTTTTGCAACCAAATGGACGGTCAACCACTTCCCACGTCCCATTGGACATAATGGAGTCCATCTCACTTTGCACTGCCTCCTTCCACATGTCAGAATCAGGAGAAGAGTATGCCTCAGAAACGGTTGTGGGAGTGTCATCCACGAGATATATAATAAAGTCTTCTCCAAAGGATTTTGCAACTCTTTGCCTCTTACTCCTTCGAGTGATGTATTATCATCCTCCTCGAGGATTTTGCTCAAGCTCATGGGTGTTATCATCGGCGTGTATATTCGATTCATGAAATTCAGAATGTAATCATGACTAGACACGCTAGGTGCACCTATTTTCATTGGAAATTCATTCTCAAAGAACGTGGCATCTCTAGACTCCATGACCGTTCCAACAGACCATATCGAGAGCACTAGAATTTATTATTAAAAACGATAGCCCACACTATGAATGGCATAGTGAGGAAAACACAATCTACGATTTTGGTCCAAGCTTTCGCTTTTTGTTTATTGGCACGTTCACTTTGGCCAAACAACCCCAAATGCGAAGATAAGAAATATTTAACCTCTTTTTCTCCCATTCCTCAAATGGAGTGATTTCTTTGTTCTTTGTGGGCACTCTATTTAGGACATGATTCGCAGTTTAAAATTGCCTCACCCCACCATTCCTTAAATAAACCAGCTGTCTCCAACATGGCATTCACCAAGTCAGTTAGAGTGTGGTTCTTTCTCTCAGCAATCCCATTGGATTGTGGTGAGTATGGAGGTGTCCTCTCATGGATTATACCGTGCACCGCGCAAAACTCAAAAAATTCATTAGAGAAATATTCTCCCCCGCGATCAGACCGCAACCGTTTGATTTTCTTTTCAAGTTGATTCTCAACCTCAGCTTTAAAGGTTTTAAAATAATGTAATGCCTCATCTTTTGTTTTAATTAGGTACACATAGCAATATCGAGTGCAATCATCTATGAACGTTATGAAGTATCTCTTACCACCTTTTGTCAAAATTCCGTTCATTTCACAAATGTCGGAATGGATGAGTTCAAGTGGTGCCAACTCTCTCGCCGCAACTGCCTTGTGAGGCTTGTGAGGTTGTTTTGCCTCAATGCATGTATGGCATTTGGAACTTTTGGCAACGTCAAATTTCGGAATTAAATTCAAACCAGCTAAGCGGGACATGCAACCAAAATTAACATGACATAATCGAGAATGCCAAACATTCATCTCAACATTAACGTTATTAACGACATTATTCACTGCAAGAGGTAAAGTATCAACCAACGACAAGCGGAACAAGCCTCCGCTCTCATAGCCTTTTCCAACAAAGGTTCCATACTTCGACATAACACATTTATTCAACTCAAACACAAGTTTAAAACCATCTCGACATAGCAGAGAGCCACTAATAAGATTTTTCCTTATTGAGGGGACATGATGCACGTTCTTGAGTTGCACGGTCTTCCCCGAAGTAAGCTTCAGATCCACCGTACCAACACCATGAACACCAGCACGCGCGCCATTCCCCATCAGCAAGGCTCCACTCCTCCCGACCTGGTAAAAAGAAAACAAGGACTTATCAGCACACACATGTATATTTGCACCTGTATCAACCCACCGATCAGGTGAGGAACAAACTGTAATGCAGATAAATTACCATACCCAGAAGCGTCTGCATCAGTCTCAATGGTGTTGACTATCTTCGCCTTTGGTGGAGGCTTCCACTTAGCCTCAGGACACTCTCTAGAGAAGTGCCTAGTGTTTCCACAAGTGAAGCAGTTCATCTTTGCCTTGTCTAATCCCATCTTCTTATTATTACCTTTCTTGAAGGAGATAGTGGGTTTCTGCTTAAGCTCCTGCTGGGGCTTCTTCTTTTGTGGCTTAGGACGAAACTTTTGCACCACATGTGCACTAGTAGTCGCCTCACCATTCCCGCCCTTGCTCTTTCCCTTGACATCCTTTGCTCTTGCCTTGTCCTCAACATCAAGAGTGCCAACAAGTTCAGCAATGCTAAACTGCTGCCTCTTGTGTTTCAAGGTAGTAGCAAAATCAGTCCAGGAAGGTGGTAGCTTAGCAATAATGCACCCTGCCACGAACCTGTCAGGGAGAGGACAGCCGTACAGCTCCAATTCCTTCACCAGTCCCTGTATCTCATGAGTCTGTTCGACTACAGGACGGTTATCAACCATCTTGTAGTCATGGAACTGCTCCATGATGTACAGCTTAGAACCGGCGTCGGAAAGACCATACCGGGCCTCAAGAGCCTCCCACACAGCTCTACCAGT